TGTTACATGGGACCATGTGAAGTCGCCTTCTTTGTAGGTCAAAAATGGTCAAATCTCAGCAGTTTCATGGAGTTCAAACCAATAGATTAAAAGAGGCTACAGAGACATTACAATTTGCGATCGTTAACTGGATCTTGGATTTCAAAAACTATAAAGGACGTTGGGGAAATATGCCTCTGCGTATTAGATAGCAGTGTTATATCAGTGTTATTCCTGAGCAGGATGCTTGTATTTTGATTATGTTGGAGAGTGTGCATGTATGTGTGCGTGTGTGTGCAGAGTGAGAGGGAGAGAGTAAGCTTGGCGAAATGTGAGTGGCTGGTAGATTCAGTGATGGGATGTGGGTCGTTCATTCTCTGTGGTTTTAACTTTTTAAATTTGGGGGAGGCCAGACCTTCTGTTAGCCCTTTCCTGAGGGGACTCTGCCTCAGGGCCAGGGAGCCACCCTGTGGGAAAGATGATTTCCCACTCTCTTTTTTTATTCGAACCTTGGGATTAAAGGGTAAATGGTGAGTCACTTTACATCTCCGCCTTTGTTTTGGATGAGAAGATGCATTCATTTCGCCATCACCAGCAGGGCCTCCTGGGGTGTGGGCTCAGTTCTAGGTGCTGGGGTCAGAGCAAGGGAATAGGACAGACATAGTGGCCCCCCTGGGGCCCCTCAGATGTGTCAGGGGAGGCCTCCCTGGGGGATACCCTGTGGACCAAGACCTGAAGGACCAGGAGTCAGCTGTGCAGAGGCCAAAGGACAGTGAGTGCAGAGGCCCCAGGGCACCAGGAGACTCAGAGGCTGAGGACAGCAAGGGCATTTCATGCTGAGTGGCATGACGGTTATGAGGTTTGGAGTAAAGTCTGTGGTCTAAACGTTCTTACCAGCACATTTAGGGGTAATTTTTGAGTTTACGTGCTTTTCTCTTGGGAATGAAGTGACCTCTCTTCCTGCTGCTCTGATGTGCAGTCTGAGTTCTGTAGTGTGGCTTACGAAACTGTCTCTAGGCAGAAACCCTTGCAGGCCTTGATCAGCTCAGCAGCTCATAGATGGACTTCAGACTGTGTGTGTCCAGAGCGGAGGTGGAGACGGAACTGTGTCCCCAGTGACACGGTGCCTGAGGGTGGACTCCGCAAGCCTGGGGGCACAAGGAGGCCCTGCCCCTCTTGAGCCCAGCAGGACCCAGGGGTCCTGGCTGGAGGTAAGGGGTTGATAACCTTGGAGGACCTCAGTCCTGTGCCAGCTGAGGACAAGGACCCTCCACTCTTCCCATCATGTCACCTGGCAGGGTTGTGGGCCTTCTCTGTGCCAGGCACTTTCTAGTGCTTTGGTTTAAATCATTTAATTATAGTTTTAAGGTCAAATGTATTTTTGAAGTTAATGTTTATCTTAAAACTTTCCAGAGAGCAGAGGGAGAAGCTAATAACCCAGCTGTAGAAGTCCGTTTGTGTCATGGCCAGGTCACAGCTGGGCAGGAGTGGGGCCGAGTGGGAGCCGGGCATGCGTGCATGTCTGAGTGTGTGTGTGGGCATGGGTGATGGGGGACACACCGAGCTCCCCAGCTAGGCGGTTGGAGGGCCCACTGGACCTCAGGGAATCTGGTCTCTATTCATCAGCCTCCTGGGCTTCAGTGGGGGTGAGTGAGAGTCCACCTGATCTCGTGTCTGTGTTGTATTGTCTCCCTGGAGTTCCTAGAGTGGACTTGTATTTCCTGCCGCTTATTAAGCCTGACTGGGTAAGGTGGGGCAGACACATGGCTGGTCAGGCTCCATTCAGGGCCTCACACATTCCCCATAAGCCCTCTGCTGGTTCATGCCTCCCCTTTGAGGGGAGGTGAGGTGTTGGGTTCTGAGGCCCAGATGAGGCAGGAGTGAGTAGGATGAGGGCACCTGGTGGTGTGCAGTTTTCTGTATTACTCCACATACTAATTTTGATGTTTCAGGAAAGTAAAGATTCAGATATCATCAATTTGAATTTGTATTTGATAGTTCTTTGTACGTAACAATTTATGCAAAATGATAAGATATTTTAGGACTTCTTTTAGACTGGGAGTTGGCAAACGTTTTCTTATTAAAGGGCTGGCTAGTAATTATTCTAGGCTTTGTGAACAAGAAGCAAAATTGAGTATATTATTAGTTATTTAATCTAACCATTAAAAAGCATAAATACCTTCCTGAGCCCGAGAGGATGGCCTGCAGGCTGATCCCGTCCTGGAGCACCTTCTTAGCCCTCTGCTGCGGCAGGATATATATGCCTCGTTCGCTGCCATGAGGTAAAATTCAGGTGCCGTGTCCTGACCACACACTTTGAGAAAACTGTCACGTGTATGCCTAGGCACAGTCACACCGAGATGTCGTGAGTCGGCAGTACTGTCTCCTGTTGGCAGCCTCACACCAGCATTGCTATTGCATGTGTCAGGAAAAGTGTTGCCAAATGGAGAGGTGACTTTTTGAAGTGATAACCAGCTATCAGAATCTTAAAGCACAACTCAACAACAGAAAATTTAACAACCTGATTAAAAATGAGTAGAGGACTTGAATAAACATTTACTTCTACAACGAAGATATACAGATGGCCAGCAGGCACATGAAAAGGTGTTCAGCATCATTAACTATCAGGGAAATGCAGATCAAAACCACAGTGAGATACCACCTGACATCCATTAGAGTGGCTGTTTTCAAAAAATAACCCAGAGGGCCAGCCCCGTGGCTTAGCGGTTAAGTGCGCGTGCTCCGCTCCTGGCAGCCCGGGTTCGGACCCCAGGTGAGCACCGACATACCGCTTCTCTGGCCACGCTGAGGCCGCGTCCCACATACAGCAACTAGAAAGGATGTGCAACTATGACATACAGCTATCTACTGGGGCTTTTGGGGGAGGGGAATCTGAATTAAAAAAAAACAAAACCCAGAAAAATTATAACGATATTGGCAAGGATGTGGAGAAACTGGAAGCCTTGTGTACTGCTGGTGGGAATATAAAATGTCGCAGCCACTGTAAAACAAGTCTGCCAGTTCTCAAAAAGTTAAACATAGAATGACTGTATAATCCAGCAACTCCGCTTCTGGATATAAACCCAAAAGAATTGAAAGCAGGAACTTGAAGAGATATTTGTACACCATGTTCACAGCAGCATTATTCACAGCACCCAAAAGGTGGAAGCAGCCCAAGTGTTGGAAGCAATTGACAGATAAATGGATAAACACAATGCGGTCCATCCATAGAATGGAATATTATTCAGCCTTAAAAAGGAAGGAAATTCTGACACATGCTACAGCATGGATGAATGATGAGCACATTATGCTCAGTGAAGTAAGCCAGTCACAAAAAGAGAAATATTGTATAATTCTGCTTGTATGTGATCCCTGGAGTCTTCAAATTCACAGAGACAGAAACTAGAATGGTGGGTGCCAGGGGCTGGAGGAGGAGGATGGGGAGTTAGTGTTTAATAGGGACAATTTCAATTTGAGAAGATGAAAAAGTTCTAGAGTTGGATGGTGGTGACGGTTGCACAACAGTGTGAATGTATCTACTGCCCCTGAACTATACACTTAGAAATGGTTAAGATGGTAAATTTTATGTTGTGATATTCTACCTCAATTTTTAAAAACAGATCAGGGATTCACAAAGAGGTGCTTATGGCGATGCTATCAGCACTATCTTCTTTGCATTAAAGTCCAAAAGTTGATTTTGATTTTCCTCTTTGAAAAAATTTTTTCTTCAAACACAGTCCACAGTCTTCTAGCAGTTAACCGAGTTGTTACCTTCATGAAAACAGTATATGAAATTGGTGGCAGACACTGAAATGAGGTTCTCACCTGGGCTGAGACCATTACAGACGCAGGTGTTCTGCGACAGGACCCTGACTTCGTGACAACCTAAATGCACTTTTGTGATTTCCGGAATGCCCCCCTCGTGAGAACCGCTGTCCATAGTCTCATACAAGTGACACAGCTGGAGCAAGGGGCAGGGAGGGTCCCTGTGGGCACTGCTGGCTCAGGCTGCAGTGGCCCGAGTGAGCCCCACTTGGTGCGGGTCTGGGTTTTGGTCCCCTAGCCTTAGGTGGCAGGGTGCCAGCTGGTGTCTGATCCCGTCTTACAGCACAGAGAAACCTGGCACCAGCCCTGAGGCTCCTGTCACTCCTCCCCGTTCTTCATCACCACTCAAAGCTCCTACTGCCTGAGCCAGCCTCGTGTGGGGAAGATGGCAGGGACTGTTGACAGCCATCTGAGGTTCCTGGGGGGGCGGCATTAGGAATGCCTGTCCCCCTCAGGCAAGCTGGGTCTGTGTGCCCAGGAGTGGACATGTGAGCTCAGCAGATGTGCCTGTGAAATTCACAGCTGAGTTACCTACAGTTGCCTAGTTGTTTGTTGTTGTGGTTGTAACGTATAAAAGGTAATAAATACGTTTGGTAAGATGATGGGTTGTCCTACCATTGAATTTCTAATTCACAATTAAGAAGGGCTGCCTTCTGGAGAGGGGGCTGGCGGTGGAGGAGGTCTGCTGACTAACGAGAGGACTGCTCTCCCAGGTCGCCAGGGGTCACAGCCTTTACCTTCGGTGCTTAGGCTCTGGGAGGACCATTCACTGTGGTGGGGTTCCAGGCCCTCTGGTCTGATGTGGCGCAGCTGTCCCCAGGGGGGACCATAACTGGTTTGTAAAAAGTCGTCTTGCTTCTTGTGGCCCTCAGTCATGGAGATGAAGCGTTTTCCTCAGCGTCCTGGTTGTGGTTGTGGCTCCGTGGCCAGACAGGATTGGGCCTGGATGTGCAAGAGGCAGGGTGGATGGCCTAGGCTGCCAGTGCTGTGTTTTTGGCTGGGTAGGTTTGATAGGGAAGAGGGAGGAGAGAGTGAAAAGTCAGTTCAGAAGCTGAACTGTCTCAAAGTGGAGAGCAGGCCAGCGCTTCATGGGAGGGTCACCCTGGCTGCCCATCTTGGGAGGAGTCATGTGCTCGGGCTGAGGCCTGGAAGCTGCAGCCTTGCATGGTGACGGTGACACTGCCATTCTGCTCTAGGTCGGCGGACCCGAGGGCATCCTGCAGAATGGGGCTGTGGATGACAGTGTGGCCAAGACTAGCCAGTTGTTGGCTGAGTTGAACTTCGAAGAAGATGAAGAAGATACGTATTACACGAAGGATCTCCCCGTACATGCCTGCAGGTGAGCGCCTGTGGTGGGGTGGCGGCGGGGACGCACCTACCAGAGTGTTCATGGTCTGCGTTAGTTTGCTGGCTTTACGGAGGTCCATCTCAGATTGTGGACTGTGACACTTGGTAGCACTGTCCTTGGGAATAAGGAGGTTGCTCAGGTCCAGGTCCACACATGAGTCCATGTTACTGGGCAGGAGGGTGGGATCAGCACCCTCTGACACCCCTAATTCTCCCAGCGGGAGAATTCTCCCTGCCTTCCTCAGGCCCTGGCGTGGTTCCCCAGTCCCTGCCCCACTCACTTGTTAGAAAGAACTCGTGTTGGGTGAGCCTTTGGGTTATAGGGTCAACAGAGCAGCTGAAGTTTCTCCTACAAAGAGATTACTGTGGGATTTTGTAAAATATCTGCCTCCCTGATATATTCAAGGTTCCTGAAAAATGGGAAGTGAATCATCAGTGGATAGACCTACATGCTGACCAAATTTGGAATTCTCATCCAGAGCAAGGACCCGTCCCTCACATCTACATTTATTCTAGCTTTTTAGTTAACACACACATATGGGGAAATTGAGACCAAAAGAGGTGAAGTGATCTTGCTCAGGGCCCCTGGCCAGTCAGGGCAGCTTTGGGCCTAGCCCTCAGGCATGCTGCCCTCCAAGGTCTGCCCCACCCTGGGACAATGCGGCTCTCTGCCCTGCTCTGTGGGCAGACTTTTTACTTTATGTTGACTCTTTGTTCACTAATTCACAAACGTTTTTATGGAGTATTAGTGATGTGTCAGTGTTCCTGTTACAGACACAGTTGCCCATGACGTGGTCCTTGTGGAGCTGCAGGTGGTTCAAGTCTGCACACTCCTCCCCCTCCCCGTGGAGGAGGGTGGGGCGAGTCCCTGTGGTGTGGGGGTTGAGGGGAAGGTTCTTGGCTGAAGCACATTGTGGTTTGAGACTGAGTCTTGGCTTCATACGTATGTGGAACTCTGGAGAGCCAGTGTTTTTCTTTTTGATGTGTGAATTTTCAGAAAAACAAGGCTGGGGGCTCCCCCTAGGTGCTTGTGAGCTGAGCTCAGTCTGCATCCCGGACCCTCCACTGCTGGGTCTGAGCTGGGCGATCCTGGGAGCACGGCACCCTCTGCTGGAGTGTGAAACACAGCGTGGTCACAGCTTCCCTTCCTGTGCCGAGAGCTAGGGATGCCGATTCCCCTGCTTATAAGTCACAGTTCCTGAAAACTGAAAGCCAAGGGAAGAGACTGGGTCACCCTGGGGGTGTCTCGCTCACCTGGCACGTTGCACGGCTCTTGTCGTCGTTCCCCCTGCAGGGTTTTTGCTGCTGCCTGGGGTGTCTCCAAGGAGCCTCCACATCGCCCCTCACCCCTCCCCACGTTTGCATGGTTAGGAAGCCTCTGCAGTGAACTGATTGGATTTTGTTAGTGAGATCGTTGGGTTTGAGTATGTGTTTAATGAAAAACTTAAAAATGTTGTAAGAGGAAAGAATTTTACATCCTGCCAAATTAAAACCAGAGAGTGACCTTCCAGCTTTAACTGTTGATGCTTTGACTTTTCTAGTTACTGCGGAATACACGATCCTGCTTGCGTGGTTTACTGTAATACCAGCAAGAAGTGGTTCTGTAACGGACGTGGAAATACTTCTGGCAGGTAGATAACCAAATCACGCATGTGTCTTTAATCAAGTGCTGTGCTCAGATTTTTGTGTAAATTATGGAAATGTTGAAGCGAAGCACAATATAAAATCATGCTAACAAACCTGGTTTTTCCCTCCTCTGTGACTGGTTTAACTTGAAACAGATGGTGGTGTGTGAATGCCTTAATGTATTTACCCTTGATTTATTCTGTGGTTCTTTTTATTATGCAAGTAGGGTTGGCTTAATTCTCGTTTCCAGTTTTTATTTATGTTTTTCTGCAAGATGAGCTCCTGGCACGCCCATTCATCTTTATTACTGGGTGCCTGGGGAGGATGTTCCCAAGACAGTAATGGGCATCCATGGGAACCGCTTCCTGAGAAGACTCCCTCTGGCCTTAGCTCATCGGAGCGGTCCTGAGGCTAGTATGGGCCAGGTCCTGAATCATCGGATTAAATTAAGTTCACTTGACCGTCAGCCCTGGGCTTCCCTTCCTGCTGTTGATCAGCAGCAGCTGTGACTAGGTCCCTTGTTTTGTGTTTGTGGTGAGCCCAGCGTCGTGCTGGTGCTTGGATTCCAGGGGAGAGTCCGTTTGTCTAGCTCAAGTGGTGGGGCTCCTCGGCCCCCACCGCCAGTGCAGGGTCTTGTCCTGGCAGCTCTTCCAGGGCTGCTGTGATGTGTGATGACTCGCTCTTCTACCACAGAGATGCAGAGCAGAGTCTTGGTGGGACAGGGCTCCACATTGCCAGCAAGAAAGCGGCATCTTCCCCTGAGGTTCGTGTTTTGGAGAGAGAAAGTGACAAGAGTCGGTAGGCAGGTTTAGGTGCACAGAGCCCCCACCCTTCCTGTGCCTTCAGCAGCTGAGGGCTAGGCCTCACCATCTTGTGCCGCCTGAGGACACAGAGTGGTCAGATCTTGTGTTGTTTTGGAGTTGGCGATGCGAATTGTGGGCTTCTGAGCAAGGCAAGAAACGGGGCTGATGTTTTTAAAAGACTTTAAAGGAAAAGCATCTTCACAATAACCAAAAGAGACTCCTGTCCCATTTTCAGAATGTTCTGGGTAATTTAAGTGTTACTATGTTTACATTAGTTCCTCTCCTGCAGGAAAAGCAATTAAATAAACCTTGTCTTAGCTGGCAACCCCAGTTTCTGGTCAGCAGAGCCAAGATCAGGGAATTGAGCCAAGGGCCTCTAAGAGAAAACAGACTCGGTCACCCAGCTCTGCATGGCTGTGCAAGGCCCGGTTGTGAAGATGGGGCAGCCCCTGCCCTTCAGCGAGCTTCCAGTGTACTAGGGTGAGGTGGGTGCAGAAAAGACAAGAGGAAATTGCTGATTCTGGGAAAATGCCCGGTGGTGGTGGCTCTGGACGAGGAGTAGGGGACTTTGTGGGTGCCAAGAGCAGTGATGGTTGGTTAGAGAATTCAAAGGGCTTTGTGGGGCCAGAGAGGATTAGGATGTTGGCATCTGAGCCCAGGCTTTCGACAGGAGGGGTTTCCTGAGGTGGAGAGTGGGCGGCAGCAAGGCAGGCTGGAGGCCCAGTGGGCATGCTCAGGTGTGGCACACCTGCAGCAAGGCTGCAGATAAGCCAGGGTGGTGTAGCGGGGAGCCTTGTTAGCTGAGACCCATGCCCAGCATGGCTGGTGGGCGTCAGGCAGAGTTTAGCAGCCAAGGGGATCGACAAGGCCCTGGTTTAGGTGAGCTGTGTCTCAGAAACAGGAAGGGTGGCAGGGTCCTGGCCACTTGACCTCAAGGAAAGAGCCGAGGCAGCAGGGGTTTCAGGCGGTTCAGAACTGGCCCTCTGCTTCCCGAGAGTAGCCCTGGGCCCCCCTACTCGGTATTTTTTACTGTCCTCAGGTTTCTAATATGATTGGTTATCAAGTTTCCTGGCCTGCGGGAGCTTAGGAGGGGCTGCTGCTCCTGGAAGCAGGCACAGGGACCATGAGAAGTGACTTGGAAAGAAGCAGCAGAGAAGCCACAAGCAGAGAGGAGCAGTGGAAGGGGGCGAGCCTCCTGCCTCCCCGGGATGGCAGCCTCGGCCCTAGGGACTGATTCCGTTAGGCCTGATTTGTTGGATTTAAGAAAGCAGGAACTGAAAAAAAAGAATCAGGAAGTATGCGAAACGTGTTAGGAAAGTTTTCCTTAGAAATGGTTCAAGTTGGATTGATTTTTGCACTCGGTGGGGAGCCAGTTCAGGGGCGGAGGGGACCCCTGGGATGCCAGATGGATGAGGTGTGACCGCCCCTGCTAATGGACCGTGAACGGTACCGGAACTTTTAACGGGGCTCAAAAATTGGAAGTGGTGAAAAGCCAAACTTGGGGTGTTAACTATTTATCATTTCCTGGTTTCAGCCACATTGTAAATCACCTAGTGAGGGCAAAGTGCAAAGAGGTGACTCTGCACAAGGACGGGCCCCTGGGGGAGACGGTCCTGGAGTGTTACAACTGCGGCTGCCGCAATGTCTTCCTCCTCGGCTTCATCCCCGCCAAGGCCGACTCGGTGGTGGTGCTGCTGTGCAGGTGAGGCCGGGACCCAGTTCGCGGGGCTGCCTCTCTGCCTGGCCGCTGACTCAGTGGAGCTTCAAAATGCTTGAAAGTGCTTGCTGCCGCCTGGCACGGTGTGAGGACGTTCGGGGGCTTGTTTAGAGAGCCAGGAATGTCGAGGGACTCTTTTGGGGTGTTCTGGTTAAATCATAAAAACAATTCTGTAAATACCAAGTCTGTTCTGAGTTTTAATTAAGGGTTTAGACCTCAAGTGTGTGGGGAGATGCAGTTTGTTACTAACAACTTAGTATGAGTAGTAGTAGTACTAGTAGTATGATGAACAAAGGTAGTATGATCACATAATGAAATGTAGGGAATGTCACTTGGGGTGAAGGGTTAAGCTTTGGGGGGTGGGGGTCATCCTCACCTGGGATCTCCCCGCCCTCGGGGCGTCTGCAGGCAGCCCTGCGCCAGCCAGAGCAGCCTCAAGGACATCAACTGGGACAGCTCACAGTGGCAGCCGCTGATCCAGGACCGCTGCTTCCTGTCCTGGCTGGTCAAGATCCCTTCTGAGCAGGAGCAGCTGCGGGCTCGGCAGATCACCGCCCAGCAGATCAACAAGCTGGAGGAGCTGTGGAAGGTGAGGGCCTGCTGAGAATGCAAATCCGCACAGCCCCAGCTTCCGCCTCAGCTCGGCTCCACTGGGAGGGAGAGGAGCTGAGGGGAGTGTCTTCAGAAACGAGATGCTGGAGGGACATTGCAGCTTCTACCTGGAGTGGCCCCTCGCTGGGAGTGAGGGCGCGCGGACAGCTCCCGCTGGGCCTTCAGGAAAGGAAAGCTCCAGTCGTCGGAGTTTTTCCCTTGTCGAGGGTGAGGGTGGGTGGTGGGAAGGAGGAGGGTGGGAACAGGCTGTGGGCAGCTGTGGGTGGACATGTCAGGAGGAGCCTGGGCCTGAGTGGACAGACAGGACTGTAAGGGCACTTTGAAACCTCATCAGGCCTGTGACATGTCTGAGCCAGGGCGACACCAGGCAGGAGGCAAGTGTTCAGTGGGAAAGGGGTCGGGGTCTCAAAGGTCAGAGACGGGGCCCCAGAACAGCCTGACGAGTGAAGGGGAGTGGGGCTTCCCGCTTGGGTAGTGGGGTTCCTGCCCTGCCCGGCAGACCCAGTTTTGCATGGAAGCCCTCCTCTGGTTCTGGCTGCTTAGATTTTATGATGAAGTTTTAATAAGGAGGCTAGAAATTTTAGTTAGACACCCATATAATCAGAAATCTTAAATGTGAATTTATTTTCACTTTGAGTGCAAGTCAGTATTTCTCAAGCATCGTCTAGCCAGGTACCTTTCCACTTCAGTTTCCAGGTTGCCACAGTTATTTCGCTGTCTCTGTTTCTATCCAAACAGCCACATACCATTCTGTCCCTGTCAGGGAAAAGGGTGTCACTCCTGTCACCACAGCGTAGGGTCAGGAGGAAACGGGGAGGTGGGCCCCCCGCTGTTTACAGAGCCAGAGAAACCAGTCGTCTTTCTGGCAGCCTGGAAGAGGTGTTCTCTCTCCCAGTTCAGGGCTGGGCATTTGGTGGAGAATGCAGCTATCTGATGGTAGGAGGTGTGTCAGGCTGTGTACCTGGGGTATTTTCACCAAGATTTACCCTGTTGGTGTAACCCTGGGCGGGAGGGTTAGGAGCAGCGGCTGAGGCATGAGCATGGGCCAGGGCAGTGTCCAGCTCCTTGTGCTGCGTGGACGTCCCCATACAAGGGCTCTCCTTACAGGGTGGACACCCCGGGCCCCTGGGTGCCCTTCTCTGCATCAGCCCAACGTTGGCTTGTTCTGAGAAGTGATGGGTGTACCCTGTCCCTCTGGTGACTGGTGAGCTCACATAGAGTTCATGTCGAATGTAGGTGAGAACAGGGACAAGGTGCCGGTTCTTGTCCTCTAGGAAAATCCTTCTGCCACCTTGGAGGACCTGGAGAAGCCAGGGGTGGACGAGGAGCCGCAGCACGTCCTCCTCCGGTACGAGGATGCCTACCAATATCAGAACATTTTTGGCCCCCTGGTCAAGCTGGAGGCCGACTATGACAAGAAACTAAAAGAGTCCCAGGTGATGTGTGTGCAGGGGGGTTTTGGTCGTTTTAACAAAGTGTCTCTCCCAAGGTCTGGGGAGGGCAGTTTTCTCTTCAGGCTGCGGATGCTGCCGTGGGCCGAGGTGCAGTGCCCAGAGAGAAGGACCCTCGGATTGACAGCAGGCAAAGGAGCCACCTCTGGGCAGACAGCCCATCACTCAGAGCAGAACAGCGGCCTCAGTGATTTCTGATTTTTAATTCCAACAAAAATTCCTCACAGTCGCATTGCCAGCCGTCACCCACAGCCACGAGAGTCATACCGGAGGAGCCCACGACATGCCAAGGGCGCTCCTCATGCCAGTCCCATGAAGAGCGTGTCTAGGAAGCAGGAGTACCGAGGCCCGTGGGCTGTGTCCTCAGCCTTTGGCTTCCTTCTCTTCCTCCATGGACCTCTGACAGCAGACGGCGTGTGGGTCTCTTGGTCGTCTTGTGAGGGTTCTGGGGGTCGTAATGGCTTCTCTCCCAGATATGCTCTTGTTGGTGTTTCAGGCTGTGGGGTGCTACTTGCTGCACCCCAACATCACGGCTGATGAGGTTGCCCATAGGGCGTGCACCTGTGGATACCCAGACACGAGGAGTCCAGGCCGTGTCTGTGTTATAGGCTAACAGGGCTCTTATTTTTCATGTGCTCAGACTCAAGATAACATCACGGTCAGGTGGGACCTGGGCCTTAACAAGAAGAGAATCGCCTACTTCACTTTGCCCAAGACTGACTCTGGTAATGAGGATTTAGTCATAATTTGGTTAAGAGGTGATTTTAAGTTTTAAAATATTTGTGACTATAAGTAGCATAAAATTCCTAGTTTCACCCTTGTAAAGTGTCCCTTAATTTGAATCTTCATGGTGGCAGTCTTGGCACGTGTTGAAAATGCTGACTTTCTCGCTGTCTTTTCCCTGTAAGACATGCGGCTCATGCAGGGGGATGAGATATGCCTGCGGTACAAAGGGGACCTGGCGCCCCTGTGGAAGGGGATCGGCCATGTCATCAAGGTCCCTGATAGTATCCTTTGTGTCAAGAAGGGCTGGCCAGCCTGGGGGAGAGCCTGGTTGGGGACACCCGAGGCAGGAAGGCCGTGGGTTAGTGGGCGTGGCTGTGCCAGCTTCTCAGCTGGATGCAGGGGCTGGTTGGCATGACCCTTCACTGTTCTTAAGAAAATTCCAGGACTTAAACCTTGGCTGGGAAAGGTGGTTGTATGGTTACTTCCTCTCTGCCCAGTGGTGCATTGACGAGGGTGACCTGGAGCGTCTGTGATCGGAAGTAGCTGCTGATCTCAAGGAGCACTTCCCACCCCCCCCACCCCCACCCCCC